AGCTGGGCCGAGGCCCAGGGCCAGATCCTTACTACTGTAAATGCTGTAGAGGCTGGTCAGGCAAAGCCCCGAGCTGCTGGAATGGGTATCGCAGGTTGGCACCTCACTGTGGCTTGTGTCCGGAGGTCCCCCAAAGCTCATGTGGCCATGGTGCCGGGCCTTTCAGAGGTGGCTGGATCTAGAGTTTGTGGTTGCTACCGCCATACCACCCTGAACACGCCAATCTCCTCCAGAGCTGTGGCTGCTGGGCTGAAGGGTGTGAGTCCTCCACCCACCCAAGGACGAGGGGCCTGCGTAGCCTGTGAGGGGCAGAGAGGTTTGTCTCTCCCTTACTGCTCTTCTGTCTCCCCTCCCAGGAGCTGCTTCTCCTCTGCCGTGCCCCTGTGCCTCGCCATCCTGCCTTGGAGCCAGATAATGGACTGAAACCTCTGCAGACTGTGAGCTAAGTAAACCTCGCCTCCTTCGCCTCCTTCGTGGGGTGTGCTGTATTTTGCCCCAGCAATGAGAAAAGTAACTATGACCCACCTCTTGGCATACATAAGCACTAGAATTGCCAGTTATTCCGAGCCCCAGGAGTTAGGGACCAGAGACACCCTTACTGATTCAACAGCAGCAGAGGCGGGAGAAGAAGGGCGGAGCGCCCCAGGGGCTTGCCTCTCTCTGCTCCGCTGGACTGGGATGAGCCCTGCCTCCCGCAGCCCAGCGGCGGCCTCCTCGCCGCATGCAGTGGCCCTCCGCCGCTGACAGGCTGCCCTCCAGCGGATCCGCTCAGTGTTATGCTGTGTGAGTTGGCCCTCTGAGGGCTCTGGTGCTGGAGCGACAGCGTCCAGGCGACAGAAGTTGGCCTCAGGCGCCCGGTTAGGTTCTGAAGGACCTGCCCCGAGGAAAGACTGTGACCCAGTGAGCTGCTGGCTCAGGCCTCCGATCTGACCCCAAGATCAGTCTCTTCCTCACTTAAGGCAAAACTGATGCTTCTTCTCAACAGTGACTTCAGCTCGAGTCAGTGAAGGGCTAGCACTTACAGATCCACTTCAGGTATTTTGAGTTTTGTTTTGATTTTTGTTTGTTTGTTTTGAGGCAGGGTCTCGCTATGCAGTTTAGGCTGGCCTTGAGCTAGCTTTGTAGCCCAGCCTGGTCTCGAACTCACAATGATCCTTCTGCCTCAGCCTCCTAAGTGCTGGGATAACAGAAGTGTAAGCCACCAGGCCTGGCTTACATTTTGTCTTGATATGGGATCTGACTAGGTGGTTTAAGCTGGCCTGGAACTCACAGTGATCCTCTTGTCTCAGTGTCCTCCAGAGTGCTAAGATTATAGGTGTGCACCATCACGCCCAGGGAGGGACTTTGTTTTAGCACCAGAAAACAGACCCACCTGGTGGGGTTGGGCCTTGCCGTGGTTCAGTCAGGGGCCGACACACTCCCTCGGGGTTTCCTGACATCTCTTTCACCCACACTCCTCATTCACGGGTGGAATCTGGTCCCTAGCACCAAGCAGGTGCCACAGGACACAGTGACCCGTGTCCTAGCGAGCGCCTCTCGGTGCCACATGTGCCTTCAGTGAGTGTGTGCAGGAGCAGGAAGGAGACAAGGACGCAAAATTTCAAGGAGGAAGAATTTACTATGATTTACTTTAGGAGCAAAACACGCTGGTTTAGGTCCATATCACGATTACAACTGAAAGCAAAATATCTGTCTACCGGACTCAGGAAACTTGCTTAATGATTTCAATAAATACTTTTTCCTCAAAGGAATGATGCATTAAAATTTAGATTAGAACAATGAATACTTTCTTAAAATTCCTTTCAGAATTTTGTGTAGCCTTAGGATCGCTGTTCACAGAAGGCAGTTTACACTTCCTGACTCTATGCAGGGTGGGGAAGAGGAAGGGGCAGCCTAACCTCCACAGGGGTGAGGAGGCTGTGCACGCCTCCCTGGCTCAGGCTGGACATGTGACATAGTCCCAGATTTTCCTTATGGTGGCCATGGTGTTCTGGGTGACCAAGCTCACTATGCGTGTGTGCTTCAGGCGCTCAAAGTAGCAGTAGACGGGGAAGCCCACACGGGGGATGCACCGCAGCAGGAAGAGCAGGGCCCTGACCACACAGAAAGTCTGGAGCCACAGGCAGAAGTTGGCTCTTCGGAGGCTGTCCCAGTTCCTGCACGTCAGAGTGTCACTGTATTCTGACAACTCCCTGCCTGTGTTCAAGGCCACCTGCCTCAGAGACTCTTCGTGCATGCCGAACTGCAGGCGGTAGGCCCTCAGACACTGCTCCGGGTTGTAGGTGTCCCCCACGCCAAGCGTGTCCTGCAAGTATTTTGAGAAATTGTTCATTTTTGCCTTCAGGGAGTCCTCTTTCTCACTAAGGGCCTCCTCACAGATCTGGAAGAAGCCCTCCTGCAGCCTGTGGCACCTGAGGCAGCAGATGTCCTCCTCCAGCTTCTTCCTCAGGCTTGGGAAGTCATGCAAGGAAGGGTCCAGGCTGGAGACCATGAAGATGGGGGGCTCTTGCACCCGCCCCTGCTGGAGATTCTCCAGGATATTCTCTCGGATGTTCCGTAGGAGGAGAATCTTGGAGAGGGGCGTGGTGCTGAGGTCCCTGTCCACCTTGGTCCAGATGATGTAGAAGCGCTTTCCAGACTCCTGGATGGCTTTGGCAAGCCTTACGTGATGCATGCTGAACTGCTCAGACGTGATGAGGAGGAAGAAGTCATAGTAGCCGATCTGCAGCTCCCCCAGATAGTTGTTGAGGCTCTGGTCCGAGGCCCCCATGCCTGGGAGGTCCCAGAAGGACACACTGGGGAAGGTGGGGGAGGTGTACATGGCCGGCCTCAGCGTGGTCCGCACCACCCCGGTGGGGGCCGAGGCCGCCTCCTCATGTCCGATCTCTCGAAGAGCATTGATGAAGGACGACATTCCATTGCCAGAGTCCCCTGTCACAGCGATGCTCACCTGAGCTCTAGACACCGTCTCCATCACCTCCCTGACCAGAAAAGTCACTTGCAGCAAATTCCCATCTCTCACGGCCTTCTTAAGCTTGCTGATGAACTCAGATGAGGAGCTGTAGTCCCTGTGATGTGACATGAAGGAGGCAGAGAGTGGAGTGCGAGGAGATGCCACATCTTCTGCCATGTTGCTCAGCAGACGAGCCTCCTGTGGGGCAGAGGGGCAGGAGTCAGGGAGGTTGTGTGTGACCCTGGAGTGGACGCACTGTGCCCAGAGCCAGGGTCCAGGGCCGCAAGCAGTGAAACAGTGAAGACGCTGTGATCACAACAGAGCAAACAAAGCAATTTGCTCAGGGGTGTACATGTCGCTGGGATGAGACCCCAAGCCTGCGCTGCTGCTGTCACCGCAAGGCTGGTACAGAGTGGGTCATGGTGCAGGCCAGGGAGGACATGCCAAGCGCCCAAGCGGGCAGGCAGCCCTGACCGTGAGACGCCAGGAGGACCGCTTGTGCAGCTCTCCCTACCTGGTTGACACTGGTGAGATCGCAGGAGTCCTCCCTGGGGTCACCCTTCAGCACCAAGAATAGTTAAATTTTTTTTTATTCATACTATGAAAAAGGCTCCTCTCAAGGGATTTTTTTCCCATCCAAGTGGGACAACATTCACTAGTCATGTGCGTGTTGAAGGCTTGTCCTGTCCACTTCAGTGGAGAAGCCAAGATACCCTTCCCAGTCGTCTCCCGGGCTTTTTAAGTAAACACTTGTTTGCGCAATCCCGCGGATAAACTTTGGTGGGGTGGGTGACAGGGGTGCTCGGCGTGTTTTAGGAGCACGTGTCCCTCTTGCTGGCTACCTTTCTGTTGTTGTTCTGTGCTTAGCAGGCACACTGAGGAAGCTCTATTTATTTATTTGAGTTGATTGCTGCTCTTTAGGCACACATAGGGATCACACTCTTCATAAGGAATTTGTACCTGTACACGATAGAACTTGGTTTCTCTTCCTACCCTCCTTCCTTCCTTTCAGCCCCTCTTTTGGCTGAATCTGGGAAATAAGATCGAAGCATTTGTGGGGTAGGGCTCAGCAAAGAGTTGCTTGGGATTTCCGCCCAGATGCTGTCCAGCCCACACACTGTTCCTGCCTGTGGGATTCCGTGACTGAGCTGTCATCAGTGACGCCTGCCCAGCTTTCTCTTAGACGTCTACACTACCCCCTTCTTTGCACATGACTACAATTTTTAAAAATTCTAAAATGCAAAACCAAGTCTTTTGCAGACGAGCTGCTCTCCGAGCCTCACAGATCCTCTCCTTAGGCCTCACCACCCGTGGGTCTCAGGAAGCCACTGAAGCCCACGCTGTCCTCACCCTGGAGTGGCCCGACGCCACCCCACAAGGCCCACTCTTCCATCAGTGGGACAACTTTCATGGCAGGGCCGGGCCATGGTGTGGCTTGGTGGCCTCCGCTGCCCCTTGAACACATTCCCCTCCCCTCGCGCGTCTTTTTTTTCTTTTCTTTTCTTTTCTTTTCTTTTTGGTGGTATGGTATGGGTGATTAAACTCAGGACCCTGCACTTCCCAGGCAAGTGCTTATTCTACTGAGCTACTCCCCAGGCCCAGTCCCTCAGCCTCTTGGAGCTCCTCTAGGGCCCAGCGCAGCCCCCACTCCTGCTGCTCGCTCAGCGGGTGCCAGGCAGGGCGCTGCCTCCCGGTGGAGGGAGGGGTAGAGAGCCTCCACGCTTTGGAGCACAGAAGAGTTTCGGGAGCCCCAGTGTTCCGCCTCGCATGGTGGCCAGGTCCTGCTACCCACCTCCCAGGGATCTCTGGCTTTTCGCATGTGATGCTCTGTGTGTGCTCTCAGCTCCTGCACTGCGGGCTCTCTGGGCTTGGAAGATGCCTGAGGAGGTGGTTCCTCAGGGAATTCTTCCTTCTTGCTGCTTAACAGTGTGGCGGGAGGTCTGGTGGCCGTGCGGCTGTGCGGCTCATGCCTGCGGGCGCCTCGTCCCACTTAATCGTCTTCTGACTCGGCTAGTAAGTGTTATTCGTTACCTGATTGTGGAGAAGAACGCAGCGTTAGGGAGAGGTGAGAAGCCCCAGATCGCTGAGCGTATGTGTGTGGTGCGTGCTTGGAGGCCAGTGTGTCGCATCTGCCTGGACAGAAGTCGGTCCCGCGGAACAGAACTGGCCCGTGCCGCGCTGAGCCATCTGTCTTGGGGACGGTGGCCTGCGCTCTGCAGTCAGTTCTCACGCACCCTTCCCAGAATGAAGAGTGCGCAATGTGGGGAGACTGGAAGCCAGTGTTTCCTGCCCTCCTGTTCCCACTCTGACACTGGCTTCTGGTGGTGCAGGAAAGCCCCCCGTCTTTGCTATGGTACTTCCCTGTCACTGGGGACACAACACCCAGAGCTCACAGGAGGAAAAGTTTACTTTGGCTTCTAGTCTTCAGCGGTTTCAGTCCATAGTTGGCTGGCTCCAAGACAGAGCAGATGGTAGAGGGACATCACAGAGGAGAGGGAGCTCATGGCCAGGTAGGCAGCAGGCAGCAGGGAGAGCTCAAGGGGCAGGGGCAGGGAGGCCACCGTCCAGGCCGCGCCTCGGTGGCCGCCTCCTCCAGCCAGGCGTCCGCTGCCAGCATCAGTCAGCTACAAACTCCTCAGAGGAGAATCCACGCCCCACAATCCAGTCACCTCCCAGAAGCCCCCGTGTGAGTGCTCGAGGCTCTGGGGGGATATCTATAACCAAATTAGCCCAGAACTCAGAGCCCATTCTAGGGATATTACACCCATTAGGAGAGGGAGGTGTCCAGTGAAATGATCCTGGAGTTGCCAGAAGTTCAGAGGAAGGGAGGGAGGGAGGGACAGACAGAGAGGGACAGACGGAGGGCTGGGGAAATGACCATCACACATCAAGGAGGCTTTGGAGTGGTGCACCCCAGAGCCCACTGACCACACTATCTGATGTCCTCCCCAAAGGTCCCTGTGACGGTCCCAAGGGGCCAATGGTCAGTCAGGCTGTGCGTCCTGTTGGAGGGGGCAAGGTTCCCAATCTGGGCAGAGGGGCCAACGGCTTGGTACTGGGCTGGCACACAGAAGCAGGGCTGGCTGGCGGGAGCCGGTTAGTGGAAGCCAGCACCGGGTCCAAGATAGGAAGATGCTCGGCAGTGGGGGAGGACGGAGGGCATGCGCTGGCAGCGTCAGGGCTCTTTTGTCCCCAGGCCCACCTCTGCCTCCTGGCCTGTGGTTCAAGTCCAGTGATTGGTGCACTTAGTGTACTAGAAGTGGCTCTCGTACGGGCAGTCCTAAAGGATAGAACTGCTCAGAATGGTCGAAGGAACCGGACAGGAGCAACAAGGCCTAAGCCTTGCCAACTGGGAGCTGAACTAGTTCCTCCCTCTTTGCGGGTGTTTCTCAGCGTCTCTCCCAGCACTGGAGAGTCGACCAGCGCAGAAGGACACAGCTGCCTGTGCGTGATTGTGACCGCACCGCTCATGAGAGGGGATGCGGAGGCAGCCTCGGTGGCCCTCGGGGATGCCTGAATGGAGAAAATGTGGTGCCCCCCCCCCCGCCACACACACACGAGATTCAACCAGGAAGAAACAAGAAATCTTGTTACTCAGAACAAAATGGATAGATCTGAAGGACACTGAGTAACATAAACCACACAGAGACAAGCAGACAAACATTAAAGAAAATCCTGCACTTATTCATCTATAAATAAATGAGTTGATGCCCCGCAAGGACCAGTTTTTCCAAAGCAGATAAAATATTGGAATTCACTCCTTGTAAAAGTCCAGGCTGTCTCAGAGGTTGTCGGGGGCTGACTCTGTCCCCACAGGGAAAGTCAAGAGATGTCACCTCAGATGCCAGAGAGCCAGGAGCCACATCCTGCACGCTCACCCAGCTAGGTCCCTGTGCACAACGCCAGGCACATGCAGGTGACAGCACTGTGCCTCGAAGTGGGTGTGTGGCTGGGTGGGTGGGTTACTGTGCTGTGCAGTCCCTCAAGGTTGCCAGAGGGGGCCTGCTGTGGACACCCTGGACGCCAAAGAGCCCAGACCTCAGGCTTTCCTGCCGTGGCACCAGGGCCCCCCTTTAATGTCTTTGTATCTGCAGAGATAGTAGCCAGGTGCTACTAGTTCAGAGCTTTTCACTCACCTGCTTCAGAAGGGTGAATGTAGGCAGGTGTTGCTGGCCTTTCCTGGAGGTCACCCACTTCCTGGGTGAAGGTCAGGACCCTCAGGTATAGGGCTGCTCCTTCTGGAAAGACCCACACTTGGAACGCAGGCCAGATGTACTCTGAAAGGACAATGGGAGGCCTGGAGGGCTGAGGTCCCCTAGGAAAAGCCAACACTCAGGAAGGGAAGTGTGGCAGGAGGAAGAGGCTGAGCTTCCCGGCTTTCCTTCCTGGCCCGGGCTGGGGCTGAGCTCCTGCTCCCTGTCCTGGTATTTCTACCTCTGAGTCCTGGCAGCTGCCTTGCCTGGGGGGTGGAGGGCGTGGCGTGAGGGGGGTGGTCAGGGCTGTAGCCAGGCCAGCTTTCAGTTTCTGTTCCTGGAAACAACCGGTTTCCTGGAGCCCGCTGGACGGTTCCCACACTCCCCTTCAGGAGGGGTGAGGGAGCTGTGCTGCCTGGGAGCTCAGCTCTGGGCGCCCAGGAGGGCCTCAGCTCCCGACAGCAGTGCACAGGACTAGAGACTTGAGGCTGACCCTGAGAGCTCACAGGGGAGGGCAGCTACCTTGTGAAGGGCCACTGTCCAGACCCCCAGAGGCCCGGGCCTGTGACAGCTGCAGACGCAGGGTGCTCCTGGGACTGTGGCCCCTGGGGACCCGTGCACCTGCCACCTCTGCATGTCAGCTCAGTGGCAGTGCTCCCGGTCCCAGGGGCTCCACTGCTCTGCACCCAGCTGTCATCTGCCCCGAGCTAAGCCTCGCTTCCTGCAGGATACACCAAGTACTGCCACCTCTGACCTCAGCATCTGCAGAATTTGAAGGTTCAGGCTTCAGGTTCTCCTCCTTCCTGTCCCCACAGCTGGCAGCCAGTGTCACTATTGGGGCAATGTGTCCCTTCAGAGCACTGCCCTGGGCCACTGATGTGGCCAGCAACAGGGAGGTGTCTGTCTTCCCCAAGCCACTCTGTCATTTGGTAGGCAGAGCGATGGGTGACTGGGGAGGCTAGACAGGACCTGAGCGGGCCTGGAGCCTGCAAGGTCTGGCAGCCTCAGTTCTGGGCCTGGAGCTTCTCTCTCTGCCCTCTGTGGAGCCTCCCTGTTCTCCCCACAGCCCGGCGCCTCCTGTCACCCCTGCTGCAGTGATGCCGTCTGGGCCTCAGGGGTGCTCGGCGGGGGCACTCTGCGGGGGCCAGGTGGCATTGGCTGGCTGGTGTCTTCTTGATCACCTCCTCATGCAGCCATGGGCAGCTTGTGTTTTTTACCCCCATGCCTAGAACCTGAGTGGTCCCCTGGCACACTACTTACTCCCGGTGTCTTGAGTGAATGTCAAAGTCACCCTTATCCCCAGCAATGCAGGGGGCAGAAAAGGGCAGGACCCACCAGGTATGTTTCCTACCTGGAGGAAATTCAGCATTTTCAGGCTGACGTCACCCACTGCGAGGCCCGACTCTCCACATACGAGCACATGCCCAGGGCACACCCGGGGCACGACACCTGCACGTGCACACACCCGCGCACACGCACAAACCTCTGCAGACATCGGTGGAGAGCTGGCCTTCTGTGGACCCAGCGTGGCTTGGGGGCCATTTCCTGACTGGTGAGATTAATCAGTGACCACTGAGTGTGTGGCCGGGCTGACCGAGCCCCTTGGCTCATTTCTTGGCTGTGTGAAGCCAGGGCTGGGCTCATCCCAGGCACCTACCTTAAGCCCCTTACTTAATCTTATTCCATTGGGAAAGAAGACAGAAAAGTAAATCACGGCCTGCTGTCTGCCCGAGCTCTGCCCGCCTGAGCCCTCCCCCGCCTCTCCCTGGGCCCTGTGCCAGTGCTCCCCTGGCACAGGTGAGACCAGTTCTGCTCCCCGCTGCACAGACCACCTGCACCTCGGCGCCCAGAAGTGCAGGCGCGTGGACACCCATGAGCACGCAGGCCCCAGAGCACAGGTGAGCCCGCGTGCACGCTGACATAGAGACCTTTCTCCTCTGTTGGCCCAGGTGACAAAGCCCCCGCCACTCGCCTTGGCAATGACTGAGGGGTCCGGCTCTCCCTCACAGGCAGTGGTGGCGGTCCAGCTCTGACGAAGCGCATCTGGTTTCCCACACGCATGGGTTGCTTAGCTGAGCCTGACTTTGCTCTCAGTGCTGTGCTGTGCTGTGCTGTGGGGCCCCTGAGGCCCTGTAGGAACAGACTGCCCCGGTCCCCTGCTGTCCAGGGTCATAGGCGGCCTCTGTCCTCTCTCCCTGCTCCTTCTCCACAGCACCTGTGAGATGGTTTATCACGGACTCGAGAACCAGCTCAGCCCAATTCTTCAGCACCTCTAGAACTTGTAGTCTGACTCCCAGAAGGATTTAAAATTTTTTTTTTTCTTTTTCTTTTTCTCTCTCTTTTTTTTTTTTCAGAACCAGGATTGAATTCAGGCCATTGCGCTTGCCAGGGAAGCGCTTATTCTACTGAGCCATCTCCCTGGCCCCTTCCCAGAGAGAAACTGAGGCAGTGTCATGGTCAGGGCACAGACACGAGGTCACCTCCCTCCTGGTTGTGCCCAAGCTTGATAACACCCCCAGGGGTTTGTGCCACAGAGGTCCAGAGGCCACCTGCATCCTGATCTCACTTCGGGTGGCCACCCCCCCCCACTAGTTTGTGGTACAATTTAGTCAAAAAGAGTCCACATTTTGGTTAGAAACAAGGAATCTCAATTGTCCAGGTGACAGGGCCTCTGGAAGAGGAAAGGTCTTCCTGGCGGGCCTGTGAACCCAGAGGTGACAGTGAGCTTCAGGGGCCTTGCCTCAGTGAGCACCTCAGACTTCACCAAGTCATCGCCTCCTCTCAGCCTTTACAAAGCACTGGGCTCCTCAGGTTCCAGAGTGTCCAAGGGGGATTCACGTTTTGTTTTTTTTTTGTTTTTTTTTTTGGGGGGGGGATGGATTGAACTCAGTCCCTTGCACTTGCCAGACAAGTGCTTATTCTACTGAGCCATCTCCCCGCCCGGGATTCACGTTTGATGGCCGCCAGCAGTGAGGAGCATGCAGCCTCTGGCCTTCCTGCACTCGGCTGTCTCTCCTCCCACCTCCCTGTGTGCAGTTACCCTATCTGAGTTGCTTCCCTTCTGCCACAAACTGTCGATCAGCATTTCAAGAGCTCTGGGACTCTGGGTTCAGGTCCACTCTGCTTTGCAAAATGTGCAAAACCTGATTCCCACCTTGGCCTGTACTGCACACACAGAGGAGGCTGTCAGAGGCTCCTTGGGGCCTGCTCTCTCTTTTGCCCGGAGGGACAGCTCACTTGGCTCCTCAGGTTTGATGCAAGACTCCTGCTTCAGCTCCAGCCGAGACTTCAGGGAGACTCCTGGGCAGTTTCTCTAGTGTTGATTGTATTTGCATTCACCCCTAGGAGGAATGCCCACAGACATAGCTCTTGCACGGTTGGGGATTTCCTTCTGCTGTTGTTAAACTCAGAAGGGCCACAAGCCAACTCTGCTGACCTGGAGAGGGAGCACTGCGTTGGCTTGAGGACAGCTGGCTGCCCTGGTGCTTCTGCATACGGCTGCTGCCAGTGTCTGCAGCTGCCCCAGGAGTAGGGGGCTGAGACCTGCAGGTCCACGGTGCCTCCTAGGGCCGCACCTAGCTCCGCACCTAGCTGCAGGCCGCCGCCAGGGGCCAGGCTCAGGGCAGCATCTGCAGAAGGGCCGTCAGCCCCAGGTGCCCCCATTTTCCCTCTCTCTCCCTGCTTGCTCTCTTACCTAGCTGCCCTAGGCAGTGTGCTGCTATCCACAGCACCCAGTCAAGGTCCTGATGGTGGGGTCCCTGCGGAGTTCTGTCCCCAGCGATGGGCAAGGCCGCTGGTTCCCAGAGTTCACAGCTGCATACACCTAGGAGAGGCCAGACAAGCCAGAGGCCCTGAAGCCTCCTCTTTTTCTGTGGAAATTCCTCACACAGGACAACTTCAAATCTTGTCTAGTTGTCCCAGGCCCTCTTTGTCCCTGCAAAGCCCATCGCCCTGTGTCCTGCCTAGGTGACCCCCAGAGAACCTGCCTCTCATGTTGCCTGCTCCCTCCTAGGGTATTCCATAGTCACAGACGGTTTGGTTTTCTTTTCCTGGAAATGCTCCTGCTTACCAGAAAGGATGGACGCCCTTTTGATTCCTATTTTAGCTGTCAGCCCAGCCCTGGCCAGCCGGGAAGGAGGGGCCCCCAGCCGACTTTGGGTGTCCTTCTTTTAGACACAGGCCATGCCCATGCT